GGAGCCTTCTTATGGGCCTGAATACCAGGCAAGGACACATCTGCATGAGGGGGTGGAGTGTGTAGAGACCATGTTCTCAGTCACGCAGGTGCAACTTTGGAGGGAGGGGGACACAGCTCTGGGAACACTGTCTTAGGAACGTAACCTTGAAGGTGTAACCATGGAAACTTAACCTTGGGCCACCTGCCCCGGGTGGATGCCAAAGTACATTTATGTAACAGTGTAGGTGTTTATGAGCCCAGGCTGCTGTGTAACTGTTTTTTGGGGGTTTTAGGAGACAGGCAGAGCAGGTTGCTCCCATTTCTCCTTCCCTCCAGCAATGTGCTGTTGTTGCTCTGAATAAAGCCACCTATGCAATTGCCTCCTGTCTCATATGCATTCTTTCAGTTTTCCCCCAACCCACTCTGGCACTGCAGGCCAAAACAGTGAGCATGACAACATGAAGGTGTCACCATTCCCGGCTATGCTCAGTTTTCTGAATGTTTATTATTCTGCAAATACACGAAATTCTTCTTAAACAAGGTGGTTGGCTAGGTACAGTATTTTGAACATCTTTTCCAGCTTGGATGAATGATAGCCATCATCACTATACCAGGCACTAAGCTAAGTACCTTCCAATTAACTTCTCATGTCCTCTCCATCACCCTCTTAGGTAGGTGTTATGGTGAGGAAACAGAGGCACAAAGACATTAGTAACTTGCTATGGTCACATATCACTGAGGGATGGACGTGGTTTTAAACATTGAATAGACCTTATGGAGCCAGGAGCTATGATTTGAGCACTATGCTCTCTCACTTTAACAGGGGCCCTTGTGAACCACATAGTCCAAGAGAACCAGGAAGGGGTGGATGTGGCCCAACAGTGTCACCAGGATTTTCCCCCTTTGTCACTTTCAGGTTTTCCCCCAGCTCTAAAGTGTTTTCTATTTCTGCTTGTTTCCCTGAATCTGTGTAACAAACTACATGATTAAATTGTGTATTTGACATTTATTGAAGAATTTCTTATATTACTGAGGCAGGACAAATCAGGAAAATTGAGGCATGGGAAACAGTAGCCAGGAACTATATTAATAAATGACTTGATTAAAGCTCACAGGCAGTATTTTCTCCACTTGAAGTCTTACATTACACTCCCTCAACAAGCTGCAACATTTAGTAAAAAGGGAAAACAAGAGGGAAAAAGCAGCTCTCCCCCTCTGACCTTGCCCACTTGCCCAAAAAAGTAGTGTGCTCTGGGAAGTGAGCGCCAGTATCTTACAGAAAGACACTTGTCCCAGGAAAACGCCTGGGAAAGTGATTTCTCTAGGCACAAAAAGTGTTTATGAAGGAAAATACTTATCACAAATATGGGCACCTGTCTTGAAGGGAGCACCTGGCAGGACCCATCCTTTAAGAGGATGCTCAGACATCTATGTCATAATGACCCTAATTTAGTAAGTGGGTCAACCTTGAAATCTTTGAGCCCAATGATAAAAATGGTATAATAGCAAGAATGAGTAAATATACCAAATGTCTGGACAAAGTGGAACACTTTTTCTAAGGTAAATTCAAGCTAATCCCCAACCCACTTTTTTACCCCTGATGTTAGAGCATTCTTTACACCTTTTATCAGATGTGCCCAAACCCATGTCTGGACTTTGTACTCTGTTTCTATCTTTCCTTTGCTTTGCTTTACCACTTTCTTGGTCTCTACCTCTATGTGTCCTAAAATTCTTTTTTTGGGACAATATCATGGACTCAGTCCCCAAGGGCCAGGAAGAGGCCTAGCGCTTTGGAGACCCCCTCTCTGGAGCATCACCAGTTCTTGTAACATTACCCCACTCCTAATGTTAAATGCTAGTCAAACCAGTTCTGAAGAATTGTTTATAAGCAGCTAAGCACACTAAATTAATCCATGTCCATAAAATGAATTGGGATTCTGGCAATGTTAGAAATGCTCTCCACTCACTCCCCAAAATGTGGCTCCAGGTTACATGGCTTCAAGTGGGGATGGAAAATTGTTACTTTTAACAACAGTACTCATGCTGAGACCCACCAGGATCTTTTGGGGGGGGGTATTAACAATTTATAAGCCAGGCGCCTGTGGCTTATGCCTATAATCCTAGCTACCTGAGGCTAAAATCAGGAGGATTGTGGTTGGAGGCCAGCCTGGGCAAATAGTTCTTAAGACCCCATGTCCAAAATAACCAGAGCAAAATGAACTGGAGGTGTGGGTCAGGCAGTAGAACACCTGCTTTGCAAGTGCTAAGTTCTGAGTTTAAACCCTAGTCCCACCAAAAAAAAAAAAAAAAAAAGTAAGGTTAAGAGGACAATAATGTCCTAGAAATTCGATAGGTAGATGTTGGCTTAATTAGTAGGTACTAATTAAATTCCATGAAGATGTTTCGCTTTTGCTAGGAAAATGGCCTTCAGTGTGTATCTGTATAAACTGCCTGCACATGGCTTCTCTATGTAGATCTATCTAGTCTGGATCTGACAGGACAGCTTAAGGAAGTAGTATTAGGGTGGAGAAGGGGGATACACATGTACATCCTCAGATAATGATACAATTATTTAAAAGCTTTGCTAATAGAGAGCAGGGGATAATCAAACAAAAATCATTGCAAAAAGAATTTATTAAGCCAACACAGCAAAAAGAATTTATTAAGCCAACACAGCAAAAAGATGAGTGTAAGGATTTGGTTGGAAAGCCACTGGGCCTCTTAAAGCAGTAGAAATCCAAAGCCACACACTTTGAGCATTACTCTGTGACAGTTTGTAGGAGGAAGGGTCAGGAATTACAGCACCATGAGAACACAGATAAGCCTCCCACCTCCCTCCCTATTACCTCTCTTCAACTGAAGTCTGTGATTCCCATACCTGAGAGGACTGGAATGAAATGTTTCCCACTTATTACAGAAATTTAACCTCTTTGGGCCAGCTGTGGTGGATCACACCTGTAATCCCATCTACGCAGGAGGCATAGATAGAAAGATCATGGCCTCAGGCTGGCTCCAGGCAAAAATGTGAGACCCTATCCAAAATATAACTAAAGCAAGAGAGGGCTTGGAGCTGAGGCTCAAGTGGCAGAATACTTGCCAAACAAGCATAGTGAAGCTCTGAATTCAAACCCCAATACTGCCTCCCAAAAAAAAAGAGAGAAAACAAAATTTAACCTTTTGGTTACAAATCTCACCTTCGAGTACTTGAGTTGCTTGTTTGTACACATAGAATGTTACTTTTGAGAACCCAGCAAATAGTTACTGGAGAAATATTTACCAATCTGTAAAATGAATAAAATTATATTCTCTACTACAATAACTGCATTTTTAATCTCATCTGGCACCACCTGCCATTTAGGAAGTTAAAAGGTGTTGTTTGAAGATATTCTTCAGAATAGAAGGAGAAGTCTAATTAGCAAATAATACATAATTAAATAATACATCCTCTCAAATCTTAGAGTCTTCAGTTAAGTTGGGGTGGGGAGATATTTTCTATCGTTCCTGACAAGAATAAAACTAAACATTTCAAAATTATAGTAATATAATGTGTTCATAATACCAAACAGTGTGCTTTTACTTTGAAAACACTGATCATTAAATTGAATTATAATAGTATAAGCTATCAAGAAATAGCATGAGTGTTCATATAGAAGTAAATAAAATGAGAATGAATTGGGGACCTGTGGCTTAGAATTGGGACATGTCAGTTTCTAAGATGTGGCTGTAAGTATATTCCTCAGAAAGCTAATGGAAGAGTAAATTCCAAACCAAAAACTAGCAAGGGAATTTTACAGAAGAACCAAGTTTCAAAGGGAGACAGTAGAAGTGGGAGTTAGAAGCATGTGTTAAAGTCCATCAGTTGCTCCCATTACCAACAAGGTTTTGGCCTTGTTTACACTTAGTACTTCTTCCCCAGTCTCTTAAAACCTTTCACTTGTTCACCACCAGAGAGAATCAGTTTGGAATTCTTATATGACCTAAAAATGTTGTTTGTGCTTTTAAAAAATAGTTCAGTGCCGGACTTGATATGCTGGAGAAAGCTAGCTGTGCCCCAATTTGGTTCACTTTGGGAATTCAGGAATCTCATTGATAATTAGCCAGGACTGAGGTTTGTATCAAATACTGCACATCAAAATAGGCTGCCTCGTTCATAGACCTCATCATATTTGCTGGACCATCACTTTCCTTCATCACCATTTTTATGCACTTAGGGTCACTACTGCGTTTGTCCAAGCTGCTCTCAAAACCTGCAGTGCAACGCACTGTCTTCAGCAAATAAATCTAGCCGCAACGCTGAGCAACCCTTCCTGATAGAAACTTTTGATCTGCTCAGAAAAATAAGGTACCCACTCTCTTAAGAATAACCTGAACCATCTGTTAGGAATAGTCCGAATCTTAAAATGAAGACCTAGAGATGCTGAGTTATGCATGTAAAAAATAGTCTATTTCACAGTCGCATCAAGGGCCCAGCTCCTCCAACTTTGTTCAGGATTTGGGAGGAGCCATGCAGTGTAAACCAATAATCAAGCATCAAGAGGGAAACAGGAGAAGAGAAAGATCCCCACTCCACTCCCCTCAGAATGAGCTGGAATCTTCGAAGATTCCATCCCAGGTGCAACAAAGCATCTTGTCTCCATCCTAGAACGTCCATCCAGGACCCTGACCCTTAAGGAAAAAAAAAAAAAAACCCTTAAACTGAATTAAACCTGACCGAAAGTGAAAAAGCAAAGTCCAGAAACTGGAAGATTTTAAGACAGCCTCCGTCTCGAGACACTTCCTTGACCCCTTTGCAGCCAGCATGGACCCAGGAGCTCTGAGCCACAAGGAGGGGAGCGCAAGCGGCTTCTCCCCGCCCTCTGGCGGTGTAGCCTTGCAGGTGGAAGGAAAGGGACGCGCAGACATCCGTGGGCCAGGAGGGGGCAGCCGGTGTGCGTCGGCGCCCCTCTGAAAAGGGGGAGCACACGACGACGCCAATCACTAGTGAGTCCAGTCGAATCCAGAGTCCCGGGGGCTCGGGGTTCATAGGTGCGGGGCGTAGAAAGGGGTTAGGTAGGAGGGCCCGAGGAATGGCGCGAAGGGGCTCGCGGTGGAGGCGGCCGTTAGCGGGAAGGACGCAGTGGCGGGGAACAGCACGTTGGTGGCGGAGTAGGAGGGAAAAGTCTGGAAGGGCAGAGCACTGGAGCCCGGGGGGCCGGGGCTGCTCCCCGAGCCGCCGCAGGTCCCCGATGTCGCTCCGGGCGTCCCAGGCTGGGGTGCGCCGCCCCCCGCCTGCGCCGCGCCATCGGCGCCTGGGTTCTGCTTCTTCCACTTGGTCCTGCGATTCTGGAACCAGATTTTGACCTGCGTCTCGGTGAGGCTGAGCGACAGTGCTAGATTCAGGCGCTCGCACACTGACAGGTAGCGCGTGGCCCTGAACTTGTTCTCCAAGGCCACCAGCTGCTCGTAAGTGAAGGCGGTGCGCGCGCGCCGCGGTTTGGCGCAGCTGGGTTCGGCGCGCCGGCGCCGGGGCCGCGGGGAGTCGGGCGAGCCGGAGGAGCCGGTGAGGCCGCTCTCGCCAGCCGCGCTGCTCTCCCCAGCTGCGACCGCCGCCCCGGCCTCGGGGGAGCGCGCGGGTCCCGCCTGCAAGCGCTCAACCCGCTCCCGTCCCGCATCCTCCGCGTCCTCCTCCTCCTCTTCCGCCTCAGAGCCCTCCAGAGGGGACGCTGAGCCAGCGTTTCGGCCTGCAGCATCTAAAAGAAGAAGAGGGCGGTGACCAAAAGTCCATAGCCACCCAGTCTATCCCCGATCCTCCTCCTCGCCCTCTCCAGAGCACGCAGCTGCCTACCCCACCAAACCCAAAGTTCTCTCCTCCCCAATTAGTGCTCCCCAGCCCCTACCGACCACCGGCTCAAGCACATCTAGGGGGTACGGTATCCTCTTGCCCTTCACAAATCTGTCACCAAGTAGGCGTCCATAGTACATGTTGAATGAATGGCACCCCGCATCAAGAAAGAATGGTGCCCTTATTAGGCAACCTTTGGGGGTAAGGGTCATTGTGCATTAACACATAGAGATGTCAAGTGTGTTTAGTGCTGTGCCTCCCCAGTCCCCAGAAACCTGTCTTGGTGTGGGACTCCTAGCAATTAAAAAAAGAAGTTATTAAGCTCTCAACTACTCCCCCTCCCACACACACACACTTTAAAGTGAAATTCCCCCTTTCCCATCTTCTCTCTCCTGCCGTGTTAATAGAGTTTCAGATTTGTGCGGGGCCGGATCGATAGATGTCATCTATTAAAGGTAAGTTTTAATCGAACAATATTAGGATCAGACAGAGGAAGGGGGTTTGATGTCGGTACCTGCAAGCTGCGGGCAGGAGATATGCAGGAGCCAGTAATAGAATATCGATCACGGGGCTGGGGGGAGGGGAGCGCGGCCCCTCGGAGAGACCATCAAACAATTACCAGACCCGCGACCCGGGCCCAAGCTCGGCCTCCAGAGGCGCCCAGGGCCCCAGACAATCACTGCCAAACTTGGGGAGGAGCAGGGAACTGCAGGGCATCCAGCCTATCCCGATACCTCAGCTCGCGGTCCTCGGTGTCCCTCCAGGGAATCCCATGCCCACGTCCCACCCTGAGGCCGCTCTCCCTGATATCTTTCGTCCCCCTTTCCAGCAACAAACTGTCTTGGACACTCCCTCAGGTGTCCACTAGAGTTTGGGGTATGCCAAAAAGGGTTTAGAGAAAAAAAGCTCTCAAAGTATACCATTATCCCAGCTCCTCCCTTAGTCCCAGTCCATTTCGGAGTCTCAGGGAGTGAGCGCGTGGGTGGCCGAGATTTGCAGGTGTCTCCAAGTGGTTGGAAATGGGCACCTGACCAGTTTACTCACCCCAGGCACAGCCTTTGCTTCAGCTCCCCCATCTATAAAATGGGGGTGATATTGATGCTATATGCTTCGAAGTTTCAAGTTTTCATTACCTTTATCCCAGCTCACCGCCCAGTTTCTTGCACGTGGCAAAGCCTTTTAATGCCAGCTGCGTGTGTGCGCCTGAAAAAGTGGGCTCAGGGTGGTAGATTCCACTCCGAGCGAGTCAGGGCTGTGGCGCTCAACCACTTGGCTGGTGTGCAGGGATTAGGCTTCTCTGTGGCAAATCCCAGTCCTGGAAGCTCAGAGCCTCTTCCCTGCCTCAACCCTATTCCAAGGAGCGGGCTTCACACATCTGCTCCTGTGCGCCTTCACTCTTAGGGAAGACATGGCCAAGGGCCATTCACCAGGCCCCGGCTGTTCCCCGATAACACACTGGGTATCACCTGGGCTGGGGACGTCTCGCATTCTTACCAGAGCTCTTCTGCTCCTGAATCGGGTCTCCAGGGCTGGCGTCGTTCCCAGGTTCAACCTCCGCCAAACTTTTCCTGGCATCCCGAGCAGCGAGACGCACAGCCGGGAGCGCAGCGCGAGTGAATTTCTGCGGATCCAGGATGTCCAGGACCGAAAAGGAGATCTTGTGGTGGGAGGGAGCCGCCTTGGCTCCGCCGTCCTGCCATGCCAGCATGCCCGCCGCCTGCGGGCCGGGAGGCCGGAGGCGTGGGGTCCGGAATGGCAGCGCTCGAGTTTACCTTTGGCTGTGGCTCGGCCGCAGCTCTCTAGCCAGTGAACTGGGTTTGCCTGGCCAAGAGAAGCCAAGGAGGGGGGAGGAGGCGGGGCGGGAAGAGAGCCACAGGGGGGCTGCGCGCCGATTGGCACTTGCTAGGCTTAGACCCCCCGTCAGTGGCAGGACGCACTTGCTACAGCCTCAGGACTATGCTGTGCCGGGTGGGGGCAGCTGGTCTGGGGTAGCCGGTGCTCCACGCGCTAGTGCGCGCTCCCTGTCCTTGGGGACAGCGCAGCGGGTTCCACGAGCCTCCGCCCAACCTACGTGGACTCAGAAAGTGCGCAAAGGAGGTTTCCATCCCGCGGATACCGGCTACGCATATACCGCTCTGACTTGAGTTTGCTCCCTTTCTCCCGGGCACCTGACTTTGACTTGGGGATGCCATTGATTCGAGGCAATGCTCAGTGCGTCTGTACCTGTGAAGCACTGTGACAGCTTTAGATCCATTTACGTACCTCGAATTTAAATGCGTTCTCACGGTTTACAGTTTACAAAGCCCTTGGGCCTTCCCGATCCCTTTTGATTTCCCAAGCGTCCCCGTGAGGTGGGCGTGACCTAGCACAGTCCACCATCCCTGTTTTAAAGATGAGGAAATTGAGGTTCAAAGAGGAACAAGTGGTCTGCCCAGTGTCACTATTAGTTGGCGACAGAGTCTGGGCTAGACCAGTGCTTTTTCCATTACATCCTGCTGTTTCGGTAATGGAGGAGGAAAATCCTGCACTAAATCGGGGTCTTTCTCTTCCTCCCAGGAGCCCTGCAGGACCAGAAAGCAGAGAGGGTTTTAGGAGAGGTGACAGTGCCCCTGCCAGGTGGAGTGCGGGCTCAGGGCTAGGTGAGATGGCTGAGAGTGGCTGCCCTAGTTTGTTGCCATCCAGGGCACAACCCTCCATGTTCACCAGGCCTTCTTGATAGTCACAGATTGGATCCATTTGCATCAGAAATAGGGTCTCCAGGTTTCTGACCTCCATCCTCTCCCAGCCCCAAGAAGGAAAAGGTTAAAAGTTGCCCGCGATTTAAATTTAAGGTCAGAGAAGAAAGAAGATTAAAATAGCCCCCATCTGCGCCCACCCCTCCCCACGCCCCCAAGTGTCCCGGGATGGCAGCTAGCACAGCGCTTGGGAAGCTTGCGCCTGCCACGCCCGTGCTGACATTCTTTCTTTTGTCACTCGCAGTTTGTGAGCACAAATCATTCATTTCAGCGGCAGATTCTGAGGCTTCCCCTAGCTCCTCCGCCCAGAGCTGCCTCGAACTCTGCCACTCCTTTCTTCCCTGCCACATGCGGTTTCTAAACAATGACTTGGCAATTAATATTGTCTGAGCAGGTAAGAAGTAGGAAGAGGAGGGGAACGCTCCTCATTAAAGGGCCGGGGGCTGCTGATCCCATCTGTTACTGAAGAGGCGGCCTTAGAGGCCGGCTCCTTGTAGCTTTTCTCATTCAAACCTTTGCGCCCCTCCCAGAGGTAGCCACCACATTCCCTGGGGACTTTAAAGCCCTGCCGAAATTCAAGCCAGTTCCAGTCCTAAAGTGAAGACGGCTTGTGCTTTTCAAGCTCTGGAAAGGAAGTGGCCCTGCCCAGGCCCACTGGACCACCTCCCGCCAAGCACACCATGTAAACCCTGAGAAAAAGACGATCCTGAACCTAAAAGGCAGCACACAGGTGCCAGGCTGCGAGTCATAGAACCTTCCTGAATACAGACAGGGAAGTTGTTTTCTGTTTGGACAACTCTTCCTTACCTAGTTCTCATTTGATTTTTCAAAAATCTTCCTTTTTCTTCCACACCCTTCCCCATCCTAGTACCCCGTACATTTTTACTCTGGTGTGTGTATATACACACGTGTGCATATATATGTAATATATGCATAAGTTAAATATATACATGTAATCAGCATATATATATGTAATCTAGGTTCTTCAGTGTAGCCAGAAATAGATTTCTGTAAGTTCGCTCCAGAATGGAAATACTGTGTATATGGCTTTGCACATCTCTCTTACTACTCTTTTCCCTGGAAGACATATTGAGATCATTTCACAGGTTGGAGGGTTAGTATTCCAGAGGGCACCTGTACCCCAAATCAGAGGGACAAGGAAAGCCCCTCCAGGACAGTCGGGAACAGCCCAAACTGGGATCATCTCATAGCACCTTATGAATTGCCTCAGAATCTTTTGTTTAAGTTATATGAACAGTTTTTCCTTTGATATGAATCACCTTTCCTTTGAAGTGTACAAATGTTAATTACAGGAAAGGAGCCAAAAAGGGGAGAAACAACAAATTGGAGAGACAGTCGAGAACACATGGAGACAACTGCTGTGTCTCCTACAAACAGAGTACTGGCAACAATCTTACCCAACTTAGAGACCCCCAGAGAACAGGATATACCCTTCAGCTTAGGGGAATGTGGAGGCAGAAAGCTTAAGGGAATTTTTTTTTCCTGACTCTGCTTTGTATGGACAAGAAGGCAGCGAGGCTCCTTGACATCTTTACACATGTATTTATTTATACCCTAGGTACTCCTTTAATACATGTATCTGCAGCCACCCACCTTCCTTCATGCATGGAGTTGATTTGTTTTTTTTTTTTTTTTCTTTCTTTCTTTCTTTCTTTCAGTGTAGACATTAACATTCTGGCTGAATGCTGTCTTTAAATTGCTTTGATGCTAGGTGGGTTCTAACCCTGACCTGTCCTGATGGCAAGTGATGGCTGTAACGAGCTCAGGATCAATATTCATAGCGGGTGTCCTGGGCTGATAACACTAGCCAAGACAATGTTCGCTATCCCTGTGGACAGCTGAGATATTGCGCCATTAGGAATGTTGTGTTAAATAACCTGATCCATTTCTGGGGCTATTTAATGAATTTCACAGTTTAGATAGTATCTTTAAGGAGAAGGTAAAGGCTATTCCGGAGGCACTGATGCAAATCAATGGTGCCAAGCTCCCCGAGCTATTGCACAAAAGTGGCCTATAATTCCAGCACAGTGAAGGAGGCTGCCTGCGCTGTGAATAGTGCTAACAATGGGCAGAATGTGTGGTCTATGCAGAGGGCGGAAGCAAATGTTATAAGCCACGTTCAAGCAACTTAGATAAAATCTTATGTTCCTGGAATAAGATACAACTGGAACTCCCTAGGTAAAACCCTTCCATTTGATCTGGCCCACAGTGTAGGACAGACAAATACATGCCAAAGAGACAGCTTCATAAGGCACAGCTTGGTGATAGAGGCTGTGGGGACAGCCTTGTGGGCATCTCCTTGTCAGAAACTCAGCCAGTTTTCCCAAGATGTGCTTCTTCAACTCAAATCGGTCTAGAAAATGGGAAGGGAAGGCAGTGGATTTTAAAAGGAAACTAATGCTAGTGAAATCTTGGTTTGTTGACTTGACTCTAGACCCTTATCGCTAGAGCAATTTTTTTACAGTGAAAGGCTAGCATCTACCGTTTCCCACTAGGGCTGAATTCTGGCTGCCAAGCAGAGCATGTATTTAAAAAACCCACCTGGGAGACTTTGATTTGTGAAAGCCGAATTCAAACTCTAGCCTTTCTACTTGTCTCCAAACTGCAAACACAATTTTTTAAAAATATGCTGGGTGCCAGTGATTCATGCTTATAATCCTAGCTACTCAGGAGGCAGAGGTCAGGAGGATCATGGTTTGAAGCCAGCCTGGGCAAATATTTCTCGAGATTCCATCTCGAAAAAATCCATCACAGAAAAGGGCTGGTGGAGTGGCTTAAGGTGTAGGCCCTGAGTTCAAATCCCAGTACAGCAAAAATACACACACACACTCACTCACACGTACACATATACATATACCCTTCTTGGAAATCTATAGGTTAAAAAAATCAACTTATTTGTTTTTGAGACAAGTTCTATATAGTCCAGGTCAGTGCCAGTCTCCAACTCTCCCTCTCCTCCTGCCACCTCCTCCCCAAGGCTAAGATTAAAAAGTCAACTTGATCTTCAAAATATAAAGGAAGTATCAAAAAGGGTAATAAAGCAAAAAGGGTTGTACTGTGAGCAGGACACCTGCTAACTGATCCCAATAATAATTATTAGAATTCAGAGTCTAATAGCTTCTCTTTCTTGAGCACTTGCACTAGGCCAGGCATGGACTAATCTTTGTGAACATCTTATTTCATGAACCCTCAAAGCAGATCCTGTTATCCCCAATTTATAGTGGAGAGAGCACATACTAGAGAGGTTAAATAACACACTACGCCCCAGAGCTAGAAAATGGTGGAGCTGAGATTTAAACTCAGGCGGTGAGATTTCAGAAGCCTCTTTTGGTAAGGTTCTTTCTGGAGAAATGGAATTCCTGCTCCAGGATGTAATCTAATTGCAGCCATTTACTGAACAGTTTTTCCTTAAGGTTATACACATAGCTAGGATATGTAACAGAACTTCTGAGAAACTGAGTCTGAGCACTGCCAGAAAGTAGACCGTGGTACAGGTTTCTGGCATCCAGTTTTGGAAACTCTTAACTTTTGGCATTTTTCAACATTTAAAGTTATTCCCAGGAGAAGCCTGAGCAACGGGAATTGCCAGGCAAGCCAAATTGCACTGGGCATGTAGAGAGGTAGAGAACGGGCAGGAGGTGGGGAGGGGATGGAAAAACAAGACAAGTCGAGGACATAGGAAGAATTGTGAAGCATAGGAACAAGAAGGGCAAGGACACAGTCATAGCCTGGGTCCTTTCTGCCAGTGTGCTGTAGCACAGGGAGGTGTTTGCAGAATAAAAACAAGGGAGCAGAAAGAACTTTGCAAGCCTGCAAATCACCAGCTTCGGGTTGAAATAACAGCCAGTATGATATGTCCATCTTGCCTGGTTTCCTGCAAGGTAGAGGTCAAAGCCCTCTGACCCCTGAATCTGCACCCAGATTTCATGCCTTCATCTCCTTGTCCTCTCTGCCTGCAGCCTTGCAGCCCCTACAGTCTGTTTGCCTAACTTGGGTGTGCAGACCTCAGCCTTCAGCGGGCCAGACTGTGACCAAAGGACAGAAACCAACTGGGCAATGACCCTACCAGGAAGCTGTTATACCACACGGTAGACATAACCTTGTACGAAAGCCTATCAGTCCTTCCAGATCTTCATATTGGCCAGAAGAAACCAAAAGTCTGGGCTCTTATGTGACATCTGCAAAGTTTCAGATGCTGGTAACCAGTTCAAAATGTTGGAAAATATGCTTTCAGAAACAGGTCTGCAGATCTTGAGTTTAGACCTTTGCTGTGCACATGCTGGGTGAGCATGCCCAATTCCCTGTGTATGGCGTGTCTGTGGTGTTTCCATAGGATGTACACTAAATGCCTTGGTATGCAATGCAGATTTCTTCAAGATCTGACCCTACTGCCTATGCAGCCCTGGTTCTGGACAAGCCATGCTCCATGTGAGCCATGTGTTGGTCCCCTGCCTAGGCATCCTGCCTTCTCAAAGGCAGTGGGCCAGGTATGTGTGAGAGGGCACCTTACCCATGTGGTGGCCTATTTCTGGTCAGCCTAATGACCAGACTAGTGTAGTCAGCTCAACCAAGTGAACTGGGCCAGCTAGATGCATCACTCAGTCAGCTGGATTAGGGCCCCAGGGCATGTTCCCTGCCACTGGTGGATGCTTGAGCTCAATGGTCAGGGAAAATGGAGATGGGGTGGTCACCAAGGGGCCACATGAGCACAGAAGTTATGAAGAATAGAAACCAAGCAGGAGTGGGAGGAGTAGAAGACAGCAGGTGTCAGAGTAGACTTTCTGAGCCCGTCTGTCCCTCTTCTTTCAGGCTCCCTGGGAGCATTCCTACTGATAGTTCTCTTCACTCCATGTGAGCCTCCCCAGTGACCGGGGCTTGCAACTAGAAGTGACTTGGATGAAACTCACTCACACCTGTGTGCATATGCCACCTTGCAATGCTATCTTCAGCCCACACCTACCTGAAAAACTCCTCTGTTTTCAGCTCTCCTCTGTTCAAGTGTTACTCCTTTTGCAAGGCTTTCTTGACTTAACCCATGCTGGATTGGATCCTTCCTCTCACTATGCTTCTATCATGGCCCTTGGTGAATTTCATTCACTCTCTCTTTCTCTCTCTCTCTCTCAAAATTGAGCCCAAGGTCTCCTGCATGCTAGACAAGTGCTCTACCACTTGAGCCACACCCCCAGCTCTGTTGGTTTTGCCTGACCTGAGCCTCATCCCTCCTTCTCTGGTGACAGCAGTACTTTGCTTTTGCTCTGACCCACCCTGGACCCTCTTTGTGGTGGTGATAGGACTGCCAAACAGGACTCCTAGCCTCCCCCAGCCACAAACTAGGAGCCTATAGAACCAGTAAGGTTTGGAATTTGAATCACAGCAACACAGGTTGGGGGCTGCTTCATCCTGGCAGTGGGGCCCAAAGGAAATTATCTGTTATTTCCCACTCCTGGAGCTGATGGTTCCCATACTTTTCAAGATAAAGTTGTTCAACATTTCCTTTGATTTTTAAAAATTGCCTTTGTTCTTCCTAACTCTCTTTGCTTTCCTCTCAAATTTTACCAGAATTATATTAGCCAGAGTCAAAGAACCCTGCTATTCATAGCCTTTATTACATCGTATGCGACACTGACTACCTGGTCCTTAGACTGTCTTAAAGGCCACAGAGCATTTGTCTTTGTACAAATTAACACCCTGGTGTTTAGTATGTCGAAGAGTGAAAAGAATAAATGGTGGCCCAATAACATAAACCCCAAAGCTCCACAGTTTGATTAAAATTAGCTGGAAACTTATACCTTAAGAGATGGTGCAGACTGAAGATAAAGATAGGATTGAGAAATGTGCTACAGACAAGGGTTCATAACAGACCTGCTATCCCAAATACCTCAATTTTGGTGGCATAAGATGACAGATTGTATTATCTTACACACTTCTGGAAGTCCGAAGTTATAAAATCTTTCCTTCTAGAGGTTCTGGGGAGAATCCATTTCTTTGCCCTTTCTGGCTTCTAGTGACTACTTTTCTTGGCTCATGAGCCAATTCCAAATCTCTCTCTCCTCTGCTTCTGTTGGCACATCTCATCTCCTCTGCCTATACTCTCCTGCCTCCCTCTTTCTCTCAATATAAGGACTTATATTGCTACATTGGGCCCACATGGATCAGTCAGGATAATCTCCTCACGAGATTTTAGGCATAAAAATTACATCTGCAAAGTCCCTTTTTTGCCATGTGAGATAATGTATGTATAGATTCTGGGGATTTGGATGTGGACATACCCAAGGGATATTATTCTGTCTACCACAGTGCTATAGAGAAAAGATGACTTGCAGGCTCACACCACTGGCAGAAGCACCCTTTCTCCTCCTCCTCCTAGACATGAAGCTAGAGCCCAGCCATCTTTTCAAGGCCCGTTTCAGGCTGCCCATCTTCTTGGAAGCCACTGCTGCACTCCATGGCCCATAGAGACCATGGAGTATGTCTTTCAATGGCACTTGGCATACCTTGGATCAGCTTTCAGGTGTACATTTTGTTCTTTGCCCACTCTTGACCATTCTGGCAGACATCACACCCTAAACCATTACGTACCCCTAGAGTCCACTGCACAGAGTGCAGGATACATGTTTCATGGTGTTCCTGGTAGATTTCTTAGACTGGCTTATTCCTGTACTAGAGTCTAAAAGATCAAAACTGTATTTCCCCAAATCTCTTGCAAGCTGGACTAGGTTCAAGCCAGAGATAGCAAGAGTGAGGTGGTATTATAGGAAGAATCTTCTGAAGGGGACAGTGTTGGAAGTGTTTTTTCTTTTGCTGCAGCTGTGCTAAGGGTTGTAATAGTACAACCTATTATGTCCCTGTCCCTGAATTTTAAAAGTCAAGCTAAGGGACAGTGCACTTAGGCATTTCTCCTAGATGCATGGCTCCTGGCCTGGTTCTTCAGCCCCCACCCCCCAAAATCTGTAGGCTCCTTCCTGCCCTGTAAACAAGCCCCTCTAGCTGAAATGGTTCCCACTGTCTAGGTACAGTGTAATACTCTTCCTTGCAGAGTAAATCCTCTCAGGGTACAACCTACATTTTACATTTCTCTAGATACAGCTGAAATCAGCTCCCCCAGTAAGCTTATCAAAGGAACAAGCATAATTCACTGAACTGGGTTAAAGTTCTAACATTCTGATAAATTCTTCACCCTTTCTGTGAACCCAGAGACTGAAATGAATTGGGGTGTAACATGATTGCTCTCTCTTGAAACTTCAAAGCTAGGACTGGTGGTGTGGCTCAAGTGGTAGAGCTTGCCTAGCAAGCAGGAGGTCCTGAGTTCAAGAGTTCAATGCCCAGTACCTCGAAGACAAAAAAGAAACCTCACAACTAAATCATACCAGAAGTCAAATTTTCTCGTTTCATTTTATTCATTTCAGAGGAGTTGTAAATGAAACTCCTCCCTTTTTATACCATTATTTATTGTAAAAATAATTTTACAACAGGAGTGAGAGGGACAAAAGAGGGTAATGGTGGCTGAATATGACTGAAGTACATTATGTACATGTATGAAAATTGGCATGATAAAACATTTTAAATGTATGAAAAATATAACATTAAATGTGATTGTATAATTCATCCAAAAATCTCATAGGCCTAACATTGTCCAACATCCCCATTTTCTTCCCAGTCCCATTCCAATGCATCGTCATAGGAATACAACCAGGGTGTAACGCGTGGCCTGGAGTAGGGAGGCGAGGCTTTGGGGTTTGGGGGGTGGGGCAGGCCACCTCGAGGTCCTTCCGGGTTTGCGCCCGGCCCAGCCCGGCCCGCCCCCCCCCCTCCGGACTACACTTCCCAGGAGGTTTTGCACTGCGGGCGCGGCCCCGGGCTCATCGCCGATTGGGACGCTGGGTCTGGCGCACCGCGAGCGTAATGGCCGCGTGGAGCGAGCGGCTGGCCGGCGTGCGCGGTGTTCTGCTTGACATCTCTGGGGTGCTGTACGACAGCGGGGCGGGCGGAGGCACGCCGATCGCGGGCTCGGTGGAGGCAGTGGCGAGGTGAGTGGGCCGCAGACGCGAGGGTGTCGGGTTTTCAGCTCAGTGGGTGCCGCCGGCAAGCTTCGGGGGCGGAGCCGGAGTGGGCGGGGCTACCACATTGGCCCCGCCTCTCCTCGCGCGCTGGCTCCCCGAGGACCCCGAGGACCTGGACGAGAGCTGCACCTCTGCTGGGCTTGACCTGTGGCTAGTCGGCTTTGAGATGTGTTGCAAATGTGAAATACAGCGCACATCGGGTTTCCAAGACTTGGCAGATGTAAAGTAGCTTATTAATAATTTATCTTGAGATGGTATTTTTATACATTAAGTTAAATAAAACATGTTGAGTGAATTCCACTTGTTCCTTTCGAGTTTTACTAGAACACTTTAAGTTTCATATGTGGCTCGCCATATAAGTGTATTGGACCACATAGGCTTAGACTGGAGGAAGCGTAGGGCATCTGGACCACCAACCCTTGTCAGTGCAGAACACTGCCAGGACTACCCTTGGCAACTCTGGGGCTGGGCTTTGTAATTGCCCTTGGCGTAATGTTGACGAGCAGTACTCTTTGCCCACCCCTTGGCCTCCCAGAGTCACTGGCTGGGGTGCCCTGGCTTTGTGGCCTGACCTGCAGTTGGCAGTTAAGTGAGTTCCTTGGTCCTTCCCAGAGACCCTACGGTGGAGTAGGGGGAGGTGCTGCTGAAATAACAAGGACCCAGACTGCTACATAGCAAAGGAGGAATGGAAACTCAGAAAAGGGAGGTCTGGTCTCCAGGAGTGGCTGTGAAGGGCAGCCCAGATCTCACAGATGCCTGTGACCCTGGGGTTGTCCCTTGGTGTTTCAGATGCCTATTCTAAGTGCCTCCTGACCTCCACATTATTCTCCATCACCCTGTAGAAAAAAACTGTAGACTGGCTCTGTCACAGCGAGAGCAGTGTGTGGAGGCACCTGTGGGAATGGAGTAGAAGGTAGTGGGCTGTGTTTTGGGGTGAAGGGGTCTCATGTGGGGGAGCAGGACACCAGAGCTGTAACTGAAGCAGTCAGGGCCTCACGGGGGTTATGTCTGGAGGGGAGATGGACCGTATTCTGCAGACAAGTGAGTAAACCAAGTCCACAGATGGGCATAAGGAAGACACATTAGGAGTATGACAGGGGTGAGAGCTGCCTGTACTAGAGAGGGGGCTAAGGGCACCTGCGAAGTTCTCTTTGCACTGAACCAAGGGTTGAAGGAGCCCTCTGTGCAAAGAGGGGATGACATGCCTTCTGGGAAAAAGGAACAGGAGCTCCCCATGCTCTAGAGTCCATGTGTGTGTGTGTGTGTGTGTGTGTGAAAGTGACTCTAGCAGGCAGGGACTTAAGGATGGTGTCAGGCTGTATCATGAGTAGTATAGGGAGTTAGTGAAGATTTTAGGCTGGTATGTCCCATGACTCAATTTATGTTTGAAAGAAATTTAAATGTGAGAAGTGAAAACACATAAATGCAAGGAAAACAGGGAGATTTCCTTTAAAACCTTGGTGTGAGAGGCCTTTACATCTATGCCTCAAAACCCAGAAATCAACAGCAAAGAATCATTAGGCCAACGAAAACAAGGACAAGGACCATAAACAATTCACAAGAAAGAAGACACAGGTGACCAGTGAGCATATGAAAGATGCTCAGCCTGGGTAAGTAAAGAGTAATGTAAATTAAAACTATTCTAGGATTCATCAGCTTGACAAAACTGGCAAAAATCCAAAAGCTTGAGTTCTCTTGGTATGAATTTGTTGAAACACACCCTACTGTCCATTCCTGTGGAAGACATAGCTGGCTCTGTCAAAGTTCCACTTCTGGGAATTTGTTCTGCCTCATACATGAGAAATGACTAAAGTACAAGGTCTTCGTGGCCGTGCCTTTTGAAATAGCAAAAGACTGGAAATGGCTCAAATATCCTTTAGTAAGGGAGCATTATCATCCCTCTGTCTACAGTGGAATACCACACAGGATGGTGAGCACCCCTCCTTGTAGACGTATTTCTAACAAAGACAGCGCGCACATTCAGGTGAAAAAGGCAAAACTAAGCACATCCTTCCATTGCTGTGTCTGCATAAAGACCCTGGAAAGCCACATTCTAGCTACATTGGAGCCTGCGTGAAGACCTGGGGACAAGTGGGGAGAACTGGGTGGTGGGAGGGGAGGGTGGAAGAAGGACTCCTCATTATATAACTTTTTGTATCAATATTTTTAGAATCTTTGAACCATGTGAATGGATTTCCCATTTAAAATACCAGATTATCACTGTAAGTGGCTCTTTGCTGCAGTGTAGAGACTGGAGTGGCCATGGGAAGGAAGCAAGCAGGGAGTGAGAAATGAGCCAGGGAGACCAGCTCAGAGACTTGCAGTGGCCCAGGAAGAACTGACTGAGTTTGGCCTGGCGACGGGTTGGGGGAGCATTGGAGATGGGGGAAGGGTGCAAATTAAACAGGTGCTTTGGAAGTAGGATCAATGGGACCTGCTTACATATTGAATGTTGTCGAGCCAGGGAGAACATGAAATAAAGGGTGCTTCAGGGCTGATTGAGCACCTGGCAGGGTGGAAAGGGGGCAGGAAGGGGTGCATGGAGCAGGTGCCTTGATGGCTCATGATGGTTGTCAAATGCTTTGCACACGTAGACCCCATGATGGGGTATAATTTTCTTTGTTATTAATGGAAACTCCTCTTGTACATGCTTTTAATTCTTTTAAAATCAGGGCCACTTAAAAGCAACTTTTTATTAAAGCAAATTACACATATAGAAAGTGCTCATATTGTGGGTATAACACTCAATGGATTCCACCAGCTGAACTCCGTCTTTAAACAGCACTTCAGAAGCTCTATCTATACTCCCTTCCCCCAGGGCACCTGCCGTCCTGGTCTCTAGTGTCATAGATTGTTTGTTGTATTACCTGTACATAAATGAAATCATATGCTGTGTTCCCTTTTGTGTCTCATTTCTCTCACTCGGTGTTATTATACGTTTGAGAGATTTGCTCTTATTTCCCACCTGTGGTTATAGATTGTTCGTTCTCCTTACTGGGTAGTGTTCCACTGAGTGATGACCATACTTTATCCCTTCTCCTGTTGACGGCGTGTATTTTTCCAGTTTGGGCTATGATGAGTAGTACTGTTTGCAAGCATTCTAGAACATGTCTTCTGATGAGCACATGGATGTGTTTCTGCTGGGTGTGCACCTGTGGAACCTGCAGACTTGGGAGTGGAATGGCGGGGTCACCAGCCAGGCGTGTGTTTAGCTTTGGTGGATGCTGCCCAGTAGCCCTCCAAAGTGGTTGTGTGGTTTGCATCTCAGGTCAGCCACAAACAAAAGTCCCAGTTGCCCCATGTCCTTATCAACACTTGGGTTGTCAGTCCTTGCATTCTAACAGGGTCATTTTGCCTTTAAAGGAAAGTAAAGTCAAGATGTGGATGGAGCTTCAGTTCCCCCACTCCATTCTGCTCTGAGCATAGAGGTTTCTCCAGGGCCTTAAGTGAAGGCAGGTGCCACCTGCCAAGCCTTTGCTTTCCAGGCACCAGCTGGGCTCTGGAGAACACACCTCTCAAGCAGGTGAGGGCTCCAGCTGTCTCCCAGCAACAGCAAGGTGGCTGCCCTCGGCACTCACTACCTGGCAGGTGTTAGTGCTTTCCTGGGCCCTGTGTCTGGTGTAGAACCCCCTGCAGTTTGAAGTGGGGGACTGCTACCCCTCTTTACCAGCAGAAGTGCCTGGACCTCCGAGAGGGTGAGGGCTCACCCATCCCTGAGCTGAGATGACACAGAGAACCCCCGAATCAGGCAGAATGCCTGACCTAGGGGCGGGCTCCTGACTACAGCACAGACCCATGCTTAGAACCCTTTGAGGTAGAAGGGGGCAGAAACAGGGCAAGGGCTGCCCTCTAAGGCAGACTCCTAGCTAATGCTTTCAGCCTGACTCAGGACCAACCAGAAACGCATGCAGAAATTCTTGGGTGTAGTGGGCATTGAAAAAGTTCCATTAACTCTGCATCCTGTACTGGCTTCTGCTGCCTGATCCCCAGGTCAAGTCGTTTACGTTTGCTTTAGCATTTGCAGACTTACGTAGCTGGGGTGTCTCTGGTACAGCTGGAGTGTTAAAATCTAACAACGTATGCTAGCAATCCCAAAGACACCAAGTCAGTTATAGCTGATAGAGAAGAGCTCCCTTCCTGAAAGCCTAAGGGACTCTTTCTGGTGCCAATGAGTCTTCTCATTGTGTTGTTGGTGGCCAGAGAACTGACCACCTGGTCTCTCTGAAACCTCCTGGTTCCCGTGCCGCAGGAGCAAGTCCCCAGACCACTACCTGGTCCACCAGGCCCTTCTTAAGTGACCTTTGGGGGCCCTTCCACAGGCTCCCAGCCACACAGGCTTCTTGATGATTTTGCCCCCCTCATCCCCCAGCAGCCAACACCCCCAGAGTCCATCCCCCCATACTGAGGCGCCTACTGGCTTTTGGCAGACATCTGTTTTTTCTCGTTAGCTCTTCTGTCAGCTTCTTGGACAAGACTCTCAGCAGGCCTGGGCTCCATAGGGCTAAGCCTTCTGCTTTAGGGCAGGAGCAGCCCCACGAGTCAAGTGACAGGTGCTTAAAGCTTGGCATGCAGAGGTCTGGGACTGTGAGACTTTCCCCTCCAGTAAAATATGCCTGCTTTTGGAGTTTCTGTAGGGATTGCCCCTCTTAGGGGTAGAGCCAACCCTGGGCTTTCCCAGAATCTTTCACATCTAGATGGTCCCAGCCTGCCAAGGAGCACAGTGCTGGGCATCCAGCTGGCAAATGTGGCCTTGGCAGCTCCAGGAGCACTGCCCTCCACCTTCCCTCTGAACCTCCTTGAAATGCACAGTTCCCTTTGAAGTCCTTCAGAGGCTCACAGGAAGTTCCAGGGGTGAGACCACTGCTGCAGAGGGACAAGTGTGATGGGGGAGGGATGTGGCCTGGGGTCTGGGCGGGGAGTGGGGAGCATGTGTCTTCATGGCAGCTCTCCAGCCCTGTGGCTCCCAG